CTTTTAAACGTTTTGTTTATGTTTTCTTCCTGCCTATTAAAGAACAATTAAGGTCATTGTTTGCATCTTCTCCTTTCAAATTTAAATAGACTTTGCCACACACTTCATGAACTATATGAGGTAGAAAAAAAGTGAGGAAAAAATAGTTCTGAAAACCAATAAACAGATTTATTGGAGACACATAAGGTTGCCGAAATTGATAGAAAAACCGCATCCGCCAGTGGCAAAGTCATTGTGAGCAAAACAGTTCAGCACTTTATAGTAGCAAATAGCAGCTGGATGCATATAAGCGTCACACCCTCAATAATCATGAGAAAGTTTGATGAAATATTAACTACAATAGCCTGAAGGTATCAAGAGTAACTTGGAAAAGCACCATCAGTCAACACGGCTTGATGACACATCCAGAAATGCACCCAAAGCTGTAATACGTAAAATGAAAAGCATCAATTAACTTGTCTTATAAAGTCTGCTGCTGGAACAAAGCACATCCCAGATGTGAAGAAGAAGGAGGAGGAGACACATGTTGATCTAATGTGTGATTTGGAAGTTTTAAACTAAATGTTTTTCAGGAAGGAAAAAATGTTTCTCTCACAACTTGCAATTTTGAAATAAACCTTCCAACAATTACATGTTGAGTTTTTGTTCCCTAGCTTTTTTGGATGTGTAATGTGCTGCAGGGAATCGATTTCATTTTGTTGGTGAAGTTTTAGCTTACCGGTTTTATTTGGAATGACAAGATTTGATAAATTAATTGTAAAAAAAAAATAATAATAATAATACAGATTTGTTCTTTTTTTGCATTCTCAGATTGAATTGTTGTTTATGTTCTAAGTTCAACTATATGGGGAAACATTTCAGAGTGCTGTTGGCAAATGAAATATCTATTGTTAAATCACTTTAATAGTGATTTTGAAGAGTTAAACTTGTAATTACCTACTAACTGTGGAATCTAGAGAAAGCAATGAAACATTGCTGAAATCAGAGGAAAAGTTTCATATTTGAATGAGAGAACTCAGTTTGCAAAGAAGTAGAAATACAATGCATAGGCTTTATATGTCAACCTCAAAAAACTGCTGGGATTAAACCAGAACAAATGTTCTGTACATTTCCTGAGACATGTGATCCCTCTTTAATTCACCCATTCACACTCATTATCCTGAATGTCATTTATGAAAGAGGGAACGTTTGTGGGAGCGGAAAAAAAAAATCTTCAGAAAATAAATGAAACCATGTGTTTATCTCATCTGATATTTTCGTTAAGCAAATGGTGAAGAGGAAAGGTCATGTCTCTGTTCTGTACCCCGCAAATACACACAAACCATTGAATATGTCCAACATTCAGCTGACTCTCGTTCTGTGGTGCCACTCTGTTCTCCCTGCTCACCTATTCATTTATCAGCTCAAGCTAAAGTGATTAAGCAGCAGCTGTTCTCTCAACACCTCTCTTGCTCTCTTTTTCTCTCACACACATTTAATGTACTCTAGCAGTCAAATTGTGCAACGTCCAGAAGGTGCCAGAAACCAAAAACGTCTTACAGTAAAAGATGCTATACAAGTCAGTTAAGTATTGTTCCAACTTTTTGCCACTTTAAATGACAATGAATGATCACGTTATTTTTCCTGTACCCTTACAGGTGGATCTGTAATCTATGTCTTGCTAATTCAATCTAAAGATTAAACGCTTTCACCTATTTGGCTTGACTCCAACGGAATGAGAATATGTTTCAGGCTTTACCACACAGTGTGGAAAGAAGTGTGTGTGGAAAAGGACAAGTGTAACATGACCAACCATTAGGAGAGGTGGAGGTTAAACCTCTACCAACAAAAACTTTTCTATATACAGCAAAAAATTGTAGATACAAAATTTGAATTTAAAAAGATATATAGGCTGTTTATGATTAGTCTGTTATTGTTGCCAAACAAGGCAAAAACAATCAATCTCAATCAACAATTTCTTTTTTTATTCAGCTGAGGATAATTACACCCTTTTGGCCATGGCTTTATTTGTCAGAATGCTCCGCATCAAATCTGGAGTACATGATGGCAAGAACCACTTCTGTTGGGATAAAATATAATTGGCTGATGGATGTTCCACAGGAAAGTGGAAGAAAGACGTGTGCGGAATGATGATGGCCTGTTTAGGAACGTGGAAGCTCCTGTCCCAACTAAAGCTGCCCTGTAATTAGAGAGTGGGTTCTTTACACTGAAAAGAATAAGTAGGAGTAAGTAGACTGTGTATTATAAACAGTGCAGTTTTTACTCATGGTTAGCATGCTTTAGATATCTATCACTAATTTGACATTTATCCAGAGATGTTTTTCTTTGACAGTTTATTGTTTTTACATTTTGGGCGAAATGTGAAAAAAATAAGGTAAAACAAAATACATGTAAATATACTCTAATGGTTTTGTTTACTTTCATTTTAATAAGATGGAGGGAATATACAGTAATTTAATTCCACTCCTTCTCCTTAAATTATCATTTGTTAAAATGGATGAAGAAAAAGCCTAATTTCAAAATCTGATAAAGGTAGGTGTAAAAACACTGTAACTTAATAAAACGTGAATCTAATGTATGGTTGCAGTTATTATCCCAGACCTTTCAACAGTAGCTTTAATTAAATTAACCACTAAACCTTCTTGGAAAATCGTCTTATTCTGAATGTGAACAAAAAAAGAGATGATTGTATAATTCAAGAGAAGCAGGATTGGGTCAAACACTATTTCCATCATCATGGGAGAAGGAGTGCAGGTAGTGGAGAACAAATACCTTAATATTCACCTGGACAATAGTCTGGATGGAGATGCAACACTAAAGACTTCTTTGCGCAGTGACGGAGCAGATTGTCCCCTTAGGTTATTCAGTAGTCGCAGAAAAATACTGTATAATCTTCTGTATGTCTGTTGTTGAGAGTGTAGTCTCTGCTGCTCTTTTCTTCTGCTAGGGTAGCAGAATCAGAGCCAGGAATTTAAAAAGATTAAACAACCTGACAAAGAGAGTTGGTTCTGTTCTGGGGACTATTCTGGAACATCTGGAGATGATTGTCAAATTAAATTTTTTTATAAAACGAAGAACCTTACACAACAACAGAGTGTCTTCGGTCAGAAGTTTGCTCGGATGTGCTGCAATACAGACCACTACAGGAGACCCTTCCTGCTCACAACCATCAACCAAATGATGGAACGCAGGGCTGGTAAAAACAAACAAACAAAAAAAATGCAATTTTTAAGACAATTTTGCATTTCACATGGATAGATATTTTGTTAATTGTTTCTGAGTAGATCTTTTTGTGGAAGTATTTCTGCTAAAAGGCAAAAATAAATCTGTTCATTTCCAGACAACTATTTAATTGTTGAATTCTACTTATTAAGATAATTTGTCTGATTTGGCTTTTTGTGAGAGAATGTTAAGAAGAAATAAAGCATAACAATTAGTTTCTGATTAAGGTATAATAAATTATTATATAAAAATCTATTCTCAAAGTTGTCATTGACAACCAGAGCTAATTCGTGTCACACTTCATCATTATGATGCTCTGCTTGCTCGTAAATGTACGTTTACCTTTAACACTGATGGTAAATCAATTAATGATGCTCCAACCCAGAAATGGTCTTAATTACAGATCTTAATTTTTACTGTGTATGCACAGCAGGAGCGGGGAGAGAATTTGTTCTTTTTGTTGTTTTTGTTTTTACTTTTTTGTCACTTACTTTTTGTCACAACCAAAAAAAAAACACACACACACAAACACAAACACAAAAACACTCCCAATCACCTCACTTTCTCACTCTCCGTCATCTGCCAGAGTCCCAGGTTCAACACTTTAAGGCAGGGGAGCTGCCTTTACTTTTTGTTGTTTTTGTTTTTACTTTTTTGTCACTTACATGTTTCAGACAATCAAACAAATGTTGGATGGACAAAGAATATATGAATAAACATAAGACGGTTTAGTTTAAGGGTGAAAAGTAAAGGCCCAGATTATGGTACACAACCGCCACCACATCTGACTGCTGTTATATTATATATGTCTACATTTTTGTCTGATGGATTTACTACTAGGAGGTTATAAAGCAGGATCTTTTGGGCCTTCACTGCCAGGCATAAACTTGTGATATAGTTTTATCATTCCCATTCAAGGGGAAGGGAAAGCAAGCCATGCATCTACGGCAACATTGTTGGAATTAATTAGATTTTAATATTACCGCCTGATCCCTTAGGTAGTTTTGTGTAAATTTGCAGAATGAATGACTGTGTAATGACCTCATCTTTTAGTCATTATTCTCCACTGTAAAAACCGCCACTCTGTCATTTGCCTCCATTTACTTACGTGAGAACAGAAAAGCTTTCTATGCTCCACTTCTTCTCCTTTTGAACCTTCATTGTGCAAATAAGAAAAAAAAGAAAGTAAGAGGAAAAGTTTGCAGAGCAGACAAAGACAGGCTATTTATTTATGCCTCTGATGCTCTGCTGTGTTTTCTGCGAACCACCAGCGTTTTAAAAGACTTGATTTAACAAATGACACAAGAGCAGAGATTTTGGACGACCCCATTTTGTAAGGGACAGGGGAACACAGACAGGCATGACATGAGACGTAACTTGGAAAAACATGACACTAAACTACTTTCATATATATTACCCTATTTTACAGCTTTCTAAAGTCAACCACTCCCTACCGTGGTTGATGTATTTTAATGTTAGCTGTCATTTATTTCATTAGCTGGTTGAACTCCCCTCCCGGCTCCATGGTGGTACAGCCCTCGGCTCCTATTGGTATCCACACCGTCGGGAACGGCTGCACAACATGCTGGAGACCGTGTCCGCGCCGCTCCTCTCAGAGTTAACTTTTTAATCCCGGTTTTGTTGCTTTATCACTGGAGAGGAGGAGGCGGAGGAGGTCGAGGAGACAGACGGGGAGAAAAAGTCAGTCATGCCAAGAGGTTAGGGTGAGAGCCGGGGGAGCGTCTTCTTGTGAAAGAAGCCCGTCGGTGTTTGTTTGTGTTGAGGGGGACAGAATAAAGAGAGACGAGGGGGAAGCAGGGGGTCGAGAAGCCCGGAGAAGAGCCAGAGAAAAGTGGGGTGCAAGATGCAGCTGGCCGCGGTGCTGTGGGGCGTCCTGGCAACTTTGTTCCTCAGCCAGAGTCCAGGTAAGAGAGTCCGAGAGGCGACACGGGGACGCGAGCTTCGCACTGCATGAGAGCAGTGCACAGAAATGAATATTTTTAAAACTGCGAATTGGACTGTTTGTGGCACTTTCAGATAATTAGATCCAACAACAATTAACTTCTTCCCGTACTGGGGACACTGGGTTGGTGAAATGCATTTGATTTCTCTCTACAAGATATTTTCATAACCAAAAATGCGCCGATCAGACTACAGACATTCAGTTTTGTGTATGAATGTTACACATGACTTGCAAAGTGCTTACATTTTTTTGTTAGCTTCAACACTTTGATTTCTTGTAACCTTTTTGCATGTGATTGTGCCAGCGCAGTAGCCCAATGCTAGACTCCAACGGCACATCCTAAGTTTTGCGCAGAATTTCCCGCATTTGAGCGCATTCTATTTTGATTAAATGTGTTTCTGGTGTGTGAATCTGCATTCGGTTTACTCCAGCATGGGAGGTGTGTGCGTATGCCAGTGTGCTGTCAGATCTTTGCCTTGAGGGTGAGTTTTACCAGCACAAGCTGATGTAGGAATAAATTATCCGTTCCTAAATCGGGCAGAATGCCTTTGCTTGACTTTCATAGATGCTGGAAATGAGGCGTCAGATGCAGGAAGTCCAAGATTTTCACATTGTTTTTGTGTGTTTTCTATGAGCTAGAAAGTTAGGAGCACTTCTTTGAGGACCCTCTCCCAGGGAAATATAAGGGGGGGGGACTCATGAGATTAATCTATCATAAACCTATCAGAGATGTGTTTATCTCTGATAGCTTAGTTCTTGTGCCCCAACTCTGATCCCCTTTAACAGCACTTGTCATAAGTATGAGGGTTTTCCACCACCCCCTGTCCAATCTTTCTCCAACACCTTGTGTTTACAACATGTTAGAACAGCCGCTGGAATGCGAGGACTCACTGGTTTTTCCTAACACACACACACACACAAGCACACACACCCACACACACAAACCTAGAGAAAAGGCTTAGCATTATTATACACATGGATGCCCGGTGCCATGTTCTCTGACACATCATGAAGATTTAACTGACAGCCAAGCCAAAATTGCACCTGTAATTATCTGGTTAGATCTCAAAAGGAGGTTGGAGCAAATGTGACATCCCCTAAATGTCATCAGAAAACCGTCTTCAAAATGTCACCCAGATAGGAGTCAATATCTCGACTGAAAACAAAAGGTAAAATGGATGATCCACGTCCTATTAATAGTTGGGCTTTTCATCTTTTTTTCAAATGTAATTATTAATGTCCCGCTCCCCAAACACACGCACACACACACCAACCCCTCGTTATCTGGGGCTGGGAGCCGTGCTGGTTTGATTATAGTCTTGTTCTGTCATAAAGCAATTAAGTCTGCCGGGCGTGTGTCATGTATCAAACACGTCTTTGTCTATTGTCTGTGATTGCGATAGGCCACCGCTTGCATTTTAAGTGGAGGATAAATTGTATAGCTCCAGCCTCTGTTTATGTGATGACCGCTGATATATGGTGTTCACCTTTAATTTTAAAAGTATGATCTTGAAGTTTGCCATGTTTCCGGCCAAGTTATTCACATTGATCATCTGTTTTCTACAGCATGAGGTACTTTCTAAGAATTTAACTTAATAAAAAGCAAAATGTTGTTTGGCTTAAAGGATAAAAAAAGAGGTTAATACCATAATTTTAGAGTTGCCTTTTCTAAATGGCAACATTAAAGTCAGCTGCTGGTTTCATTTGACTGGACGTAGCCTGGAGCTATAATTTATTAAACTGTGTTTGTTTGTGTGTGTGTGTTTGTGTGGTGTTCATGTCTAATATGTGTGTGAGGTCAAAATGCCTTCTCAGCCAAGTCCACTGGCCTTGCAATAATAGGCTGAGTTGGACTAATGGTATGTTGGCAAGTGTGTTACACTGTGTAATGGTGTGCTGTGAGACGGTGCTTCTCCTCACCCACTCCTGTGATTCCCGCAGGGGGCCCCTTTTTATTCAGTGATCGGCTATTGATTGGAGTCGCGGGTTGCCTTTGAATCTGTTTATGTTCCAAAGAAGTCATTTCATGCTTAGCATTTTCAAGAAAGCATGTCAGAAACGAGTTTTGATATCTTGAGAAAGGTGTAAAAGGTACAATTTACACAATAATGCTTGAACTGTAGAATAAGATGTAGCACAACAAAGAAAAACAGAAATGTTATTTTAAATGCAAACATCTCCTTTCTGTCTTCCTGTTCTAAGAGACTTGGAATTTGATATTTGGCCTAAACAAAGATAGAAATGAAATAAGACCATCTTTGCAAAACATGTTCTTTGATGTCTTTTTACAGCTTTTTCTGTAAAAGATTTGTTGTAATTGCTGGTAAACTTGGAAAACCAATCAAAAACCTTTTGGTAAGGTCATAAACGGAAAAAAACAAGGTACCAGCTCACTCTTAGAAACTCAACTTGCATTTGATGATGTAAATTGAATGAGCAAAAAAAGATTTGATTTGTAGTTTTTGAACTTATAACTACACTAGATTTTGATTGACTGTTGGAGTGAACAAGCTAAGTGGCTTGGAGAGGGCAGAGTGAAAGTTTGATCTTTGGTTCAGGTTGCTTCCACCTGCTGTGCCCTTTCCTGCTTGTTATACCCTCTCTTTGGATTGATTAGTCCCCTGACAATAGACAGCCTAAAACAGCCTCACACCAGTGTTTTTTTTTTATTTAATTTTTTTTTTTATTCTGACCGCCCAGACATGGTTGTGCATACCCAGCAAGCTTCAGAACGTAAATTTATGACTTTGTCTTGCAGAAATGCCCCAAGCCACATTTAATTAAGTGTCCTCAGAGTAATTGTGTTGATATTAATAGTGTTGCAAGCTTGACATTTATGACTAACCCAGTCCACAGAGAGATTTGTTACACTCTTTGTATTGTTTTTGGTGCAGATTCATCTCTACAGGGCATTGCATTTTTCTCTCATGGGGAAATGTTGACCTGGAGGTTGTAGCTATGGCGAGTTTCTATAAAACAAGTTATTTCTTTCTTTCTTTTTACTTTTTTGTCTTGAATCTGATTGTTTTGGCACATGTGTGCGTTCACCTTTCATTCTGGTTTCATAGCCTTTTAGGGGGCTTGGGAGGTGGAAAAAGCCCAGATTTATTGGGATGTGTAAGACTTAAGCTCCTGTGTTGGGAGGGTAAAAATGTTCTGTGCCGTCTTCAGATCTAGATGGTTAGGTTGGCATTGACCAGGCTGTTGCTTACACCAGAGGAAGGGGGAACAGGCCACCCGATACCCCGCTGTGCTTTGTGTGTCTCTTCAGAAGGGATGGAATTGCACCTCCAAGGTAGCAGTGGAGGTAACTATGATTACTTGATTTCCACCCCCGCTCTCCCTCTAACATTCTCTGATGGATAAATGTCAGACCTCAGACCTCTACCCTCCTCGTGTTGCTCTAAATCATCTGGCCCTCACTCTGCAAGTCGGGCTTTCTCTGTAAGAGACCCCTGGGCGTGCTTTCGTCTTCTGGATTGTTTCTGGTTTCAGAACATGAATCTGTGGCCCCAAGGCGTATTTCAATTATGCTCACTGCTCTAATATCTGTCACAGATGTCAGCTTTCAGTGCACACAGCAAACGGACAAACAAAGTTAACCAACATCAGCTTGTACTTTGGAGAACAATTGTTCTCATTGTAACAACGGATATGAGCCACCAGTAAAAATGCTTGCCAAAGTTTAATTTTATCATCCTCCTCAGGCTAGTTACAAACAAGATGAAAATACATATTTTTGATTATTTCTTGTACCTTCCAAGGTAATGATATTGGAAAGAAAATTTAAAATGTTAAGATCCTTAATCCTTGTCAAAAGTAAGTCACTCTATATTTTTAATAGTCTCCAGGGACAACAAATGAAAGTGATCACAGGATTAGTTTTTCCCTCGATCACTTGAAATTTAGTTCATTGGTTGTTCTGGCTAAGGTTATATGGTAGGTTGTTGATGTTCCCAGAGGTGGTGGACAGAAGTGCGCATAACGGTCAATGTTGTGCATGAATGTCTTGTAAACCCAACAACACAATTCACTTTAGAGACTTTCTTTTAAAAGTTAGCTTCGGTTGAATTAAAAAAAAACAACAACAAAGATTTGCCATAATTCTTGTAGTGTCCTAGTGGTCATGCATTATATTGGTGGCCCATCAGAGGATTGGTAGTGAAATAGAGTCCTGTCCTTTTTCCACACCAAGTACTGTCATTCTGAGCTCCTTAGGGGTTGCAGATTATTGGAAACTGTAATAAACTCTGGTTCTCCGTCTCAGCGGGGGCCTGCTGTGTAGCACAGAAAGATAAGCAGGCCTGGAGACTTGCTGTCTGAGCACACCAGTGGAGGGGGGAGCAGGGACACAAAGGCATTTTGAAGGACACACTCAGGTAGAGATCCATAGTAACTTAATTGTTCATTAGGGCCTCTCCTCACTTTGTGACTATAGAGGAAAGCTTCACCTGGGAGATTCCATAAAACGGGGCATATCTGGAAGAGGTCATTTATGGGGAACGATCCGGGGATTGTTGAGATAAAGGGTCTCTTTCCATCCCCAGTGTGGTTTTAGTCATAAAAAATAAGCCACTTATTCTCTTTGTTGTCTCAGTTTGAATTACAGACATCACAGGATTATATTTGAGGACAAAGAAAAAATTTTATGGCAGTGTTTGAATGACAATAGTTTTAACTGAGAAATTTGCAGCATTCTTAACTTTTTTGTTGTTGTTGTTTTTTGTTGGAATAACTGTCTATAATCATTTTTTGTAAATCAAAGTCCATCTGATTTTTGGTAGTGCAATCCAATTTTATTATGTACTCTCACTTAAAATTACTTCATCAAATGCCCATTCAGTGTGATTATATTCATAGTGACAAAACTTTAGTTTTTTTGTTTTAGCATCATTTAAAAAAGAGGCAATTTGTTTTCTTAATCAAATGGAATGTGTATATTCACACAGATAACCTGTTTAA